CCAGCATAACCTAGTTTATTCTACGTCGCTTATGATTTTACTAAAAGAGACATCGAAACCTTGAACCTCAACAAGAATAGGAGTTAGCTCTGCTCATTCGCTGATCTAAGGACCTACTTTTAGATTTGTTTTGATCGAAATTCAAATAGACGGTATGTGAGCTCTATTCTGATAACGAATATCAATATAACATATATTGCGTTTCCTTATAGTTTAAAGGGAAAATCATGTTTTCCATTTAGCAGAAGACATTGTTTTCCATGATGATATGTAAAAATATTATGGTCGATTTTTAGTAAAAGCAGATAAAAGGATTATTAATCCTTGAATTTACAAAGTTTTGATGCATTACTTGAAACTTCCAGCTTAGTTACACTGAAGTAAGGCTTGGAATTCCTATACGAAAGTTTCAGTTAAAGACGAACTGTCCCACTACCAACTCTCAACTAGTAATCGACCAAAATGTAGTTAAGTACAGGGTGCGGCAGATAGGATGGATGGTTTTAAAAAATCATAAAATAGTTAATTTTTACTCGAAAACAAATTTATGATGGAATCAGGTTCACAAGGAAATAGCATTTGAGGCAGTCAAGTGTGGAAAATCACATCAGGCATGTGGTGGCCGAAATCGTTGATGCAGTGTTGGAGGCGTTCTTGGAAGTTCGCGTAGACTCTCTCCAACATCGCTCTCTCAACTTGGGCGACTTCCACGCGAATTTCGCCCTTCAATTCGTCCAGAGTTCGGGGCTTGTTCGCGTATACTCCAGCCTTGAGGTGTACCCATAAAAAAAAAATCGCATATGGATAAAACTGGGGACCAAGGAGGCCAATGAACATCGCCAAATCTGGAAATAAGGCGACCAGGGAAGAGAGGGCGAATAACGTCCATGGCCAATTTGTAGGGGTGAAAGCGGAAATCCATATGCAAAATTCGCCTTACCGAACGATCACTAAGGCGAAGTGCAGCAGCATGTTTCCGGGCAGATCGAGTCGGACTGCGAAGAAAGACCTGTCGAACGCGTTCAACATTTTCAGGAGTTCGAACTGTTCGAGAGGAACAGCTCTATTCCGATGAATGTTGAAGTGGCGACGAAACTCACGCTGTACGACGAAGACTGACTTATTATTTCGGACGAAACAATCATAGGCGAAAAACGCGGTGCTCCACCGTCCAAGGATTTTTTTTTTTTTTTTGGTGAGGGGGGAATGCGTTTACGCACCATACCATAGCCCGAGCTACGGCGTGTGTGGGACTCCAGGTTGTCTTGAGGAGACCACCTAATACCCACTAAACCCTAACCTCCGCGTGGCCCGACTCATCAGCGTCTCGGTAGGCCATGTGTTGTGCGTGACCTGCGGTCTGCTACAGCGTCTCCTCATGTGTTTCAGTCTCTGGAAACGCCGGGTTGGTTCCCTTTACCTCGCACATTCTATCGATGTCGTTAAGCGATCATCGATAGAGGGTCTCCTAGGTCCTCTTGAAACTCTTGTTTTCGAAAAATCAAGAGTTTCAAGTCCTCTTACCAATATGTTGTTCCTGGTCCTGGTCCTGAAGGGTCCTGATACTGAAGGGTCCTGATCCTGGTGGGTCCTGGTCGTGGCGGGTCCTGGTCCTGGTGGGTCCTGGTCCCGGTGGGTCCTGGTCCCGGTGGTTCCTGGTCCCGGTGGTTCCTCGTCCTCTGCATCCACGCCGTGGGGGGGGGGAGCAACCGTGGGTTCTCCTAGTCTCCTAGTCAAGGTTCCAGTTAGCGGGTGCCAACTGAGACCTTGATCTAGGGTACCTGGTTCTGCGGTTTGCGCGGCCTCTCGTCCGGATCGTAGTCTATGAGGAATCTTAGCTGCTCGTTCGGGTGGTCCTGAGCTTTCTGGAAGGTCTTCTCGCTTTTTTCCCTCATGTACTCGTGAATGGTGTCCCAGTGCAGGTCCCTACGCAAGGTTAGTTTCTTACGTAGGATGGTGCACTGGTGGCGATCCGGAGTAGCTTCATCTCTAGAGCAGCAAGTCGCTTGCGGTAGCTGGGGGCAGCGTACCCCCAGACCGCGGAGGCGTAAGCGAGCTGAGGTCTGGCGAAGGCCTTGATCAGCCGTAGTTTGGTCGCTAGCGGCATCCGGCTGTGTCTACCCAGTAATGGGTAGAGTTGAGCCATGGCTGCTCTGGTCTTTGCGATGACAGCTTCTATGTGGTCTTTCCAGGTGAGGGACTTGTCAAATACGATCCCCAGATATTTGACTTTGTCGCTCCACTGGATATCTTCGTCGAAGATGGATGCTTCGACAGGTCTTGCAATCCTTCTTCGTTGGATGAAGACTGCCTGCGACTTCTGGACGTTGATGCGGATTTTCCATTTCACGCACCAGTCCTGGATGTGGTCCAGTTCATCCTGTAGTCTCCTACGGATGATCTCGGGACGTCGATGCTTGGCGGCTATAGCAGTGTAGTCTGCATATAGGGCCAGCATTGTGTCAGCTGTCTTCGGCACATCGTGAGTATAGATGTTGTAGAGCAGGGTGGCTAAGGCTGACCCCTGGGGCACGCCTGCTTCCAGCTGTCGTCTTGTTGAATGGCATGTACCAATTTTCACCGTGAACCATCTTTGTGTTAGATAGCTCTGGATCAGTTGACACATGTTCGCATCGATTCCGGCGGTTTCCATTTTGGCGATGAGTCCATCGTGCCAAGCTCGATCGAAGGCTCGTTCCACGTCCAGCAGGACGAGGCCGGTTGCCTCCTGGAGATTGAAGCCGCTGGTGATGTTTTCTGTCAGTCGTAGCGCTTGGAGTTCCGTGTTGTGGGAGATCTGAAGCCGAATTGCTCTGGGGGGAGAAGTTGCAGTTCTTCTGCCTGCTTCTCTAGTCGAACGGCGATAGCCTTTTCGACTACTTTGCCGATCGAGGAAACCAGGCTGATGGGCCGGTAGTTCTGGGGCAACTTCCGGTCCTTGCCTGGCTTGGTGAGCATTATAACCTGGGCTTCCCGCCACCGCCGCGGGAAGTGGTTAAGTCTCAGAGTGGCATTGGCGATGTTGGTGGCGCAGCAATGCCTTTGGAGGGAAGGTTCTTCAGCATCCTGTTGTTGATGCCGTCCCTTCCCGGCACCTTTCTGTCCTTCAACCTGCGGATGATCAGACGGATTACCTCTGGACTGGAGGGGTGATCCGTCTCCTGGCCAGGTGGTCGACTCCTCATGATTTCGGCTGCGACTTCCACGGCCTCCTCGTGGTTGTCGTCCTCGTCTTCATGGTAATTGAGTCTGCATTCGGATTCTAGCAAATCGGCGAATGCTTCGGCTTTTTCTTCACTAGAGTAGGCCAAGCCGCGTTGGCCGTGAAGAGTGGGGATCGTGGTGCGCTGACGACGAAATTTACGCTGCATAGTCCAGGCCGTACCATCCTGGGTCTCTAGTTCTGCACAGGCTGCATTCCATCTGCTGTTTTGGAGTTCCGCGAGTGCGTTCTTCAAAGCTAGCGATGCTCTGTTTCGCGCAACTCTCGACTCCTCTGTCAACAGCTGGAGATGTTCTCGCTTGAGTCTTCTGTTTTCCCTGATCAGGTGCCTAATACGGTGCGGTGCTGGACCATTTAGCTGTCTAGGAATTGCCGTAGTCTCGGAGCGGGTGCTAGGACAGCCTTCTCCAGCTCCTCTACTGCGTTGTCCAGTTCCTCCGCTGATCGGATGGTTGGAATTTGAGTGATGTTCCTTTGGACGTTGGATTTTTACAGGTTCCAGTTCGTCCGTTTGGTGCTCAAGCTATCTCGAGTTCTAGACCCTGTGCCAAGTGTTAGTAGGATTGGATTGTGGTCCGACGATCCTTCCACCAGGGTCTCTATCTCGAACTCCTCTCTGATGTTGCGGAGGATGGCTATGTCCAGTACCGCAGGTCGCCCAATTCCGAATGGAATGTAGGTTATTTGCTCCGGACCGACGATGACCCCCGCCAGGGCATCGACGTGTTCCTGGAGCTGCCTTGCATTCCTGTCTTCGACGTTGTTGTTCCATGCCGGAGACTTGCAGTTTAGATCTCCGATGACTATGCGTGCTCCTGGGCCTCTCAGGAGGTCAGCGATGTCATCTTTGTCTAGGGCCTCCCCTGGTGGCACATATAGGGAGGTGATTCTGTAGGGACGGTGGTTGTGATGGACCTGGACCGTGATTCCGTCCCCATTGATGTCTGCGGCATCGTCGAGGACATGACTCGTCAAGGTACGTTTGACGAGTAATGCGACTCCTCCACCTCTGCCTCTTCTGTCGTAGCGGTACGTCTCGTACCGCGGGAACGTCAGACTATGGGCAGCATCCAATTTCGTTTCTTGGATGGCCATCACCTCTCGTTGGTATTGGTACTGGTCTAGTATCTCCTGGATTTCTGGTTTCCGTGCCCTGAATCCGTTGATGTTCCAGGAGATAATGCGTAGAGATTCTACGTTTTGCCCTGTAGTCATTTCGGGTCTAATGCTTGTCTTGCATCTTGGCCTCGAGTGCATCCAGGCGGGTTATGATGGCTTGCATCATTGCTAGCAGTCTGTCATCGTCGTGTTGCTTCTGCGCAGTAGTTCCAGTAGCAGTGGCGGCTGCTGGGGCAGAAGTGGACATGGGTTTCTTCGCTTTTTGAGCGTAAGAGGTCCTATTTGTGGTGGGGACTGCTTTGGGGTAGAAGCAGCTTTCCTCGGGGCCTTACTACATCCCTTGTAGTTGGCGGGGTGGCCTTCTCCACAAAGGCAACACTTGGCGTTTCGTTAACCTGTTGGCGGCGCTGGCAGACTGCAGCTGGTGCTGCTGTGGTCCTCTCCACACCTAACGCACCGTTCAGCGAGACGGGAGTTCCGCTGTGTGTGCCCGTACCGCTGGCAGCGGTAACATTGGCTGGGCTCGGTGGACTTTTTCTTCCTCTCGAAGCTGACCGTGAGCATGGCCAGCCTCTGGATCTCTAGAAGCTTTTCCGGCATCTTCGTCTTGACGAGGAAGTGCGGAAGGGGCTTCTTGGTGGTCCTTGAGGTCATCTGCTGAACCTCCGCGTCTGCGATACCTTGGCTCACTAGACCCTCTTTGACGTCATTGATTGACATCTCCCTGGGTAGTCCACGAATGACCCTCTGGTCCATCATGTCCTCCTTCAGTTGATAGGTGAAGAAGGGCCGCTTGATGGAGTCCAGCAGTGCGACTAGCTGACGGTAGTGTTTTCCGTAGGCTGCTGGTCCTCGTCTCCCTGGTCCTCACCTTCTTCTTCTTCTACCGTCTTCTTCGCCTTCCTCTTCGCTTTGAGGAGCTTCCCCCTCACTTCCTCTATCTCTTGCCTCGCCTGCTTGAATGCTTCTTGCAGATTTTTCATCTGCTCAGCAAGCATTGCGAAATTATCCTCGTTCTGCTTCAGCTGGCTCGTCAGTTTTTCTATTCTCGCCATCGTGGATGGCGATCGTATCGTGATGAAAATCACAATAAGATCGCACTGTAATGCTAAGATCTCACGAGTCAAACGGCACCCTCCCCACCTCTCTGGTAGACGGAGGCGGAGAGTATTACCCATCCCAAAAACGTCCGTCCTCTCCGCCGCACCCTGTATTTCTTTATAAATATTGTTTGGTGAGAATAGCAGTTTTATTCCAAAAAATCAAATTATTTCGATTTTTTTTAAAACCATTTCGAGTAGTAACGTTGTTCACACTTGGGCAGCTGTTTATTCCATCGGGTAAAAGTAGAAATACCTGCCATTTGTATCATTGACAAAATTAAAATATTTTTTTGTTACATGGACAAAACAAGGTGGTTATTATGTAAAACGTACCCAAAAAAGCCGGAAATGTCATTAGATTTTTTCACAAAAGGTTTTCTAGCAGTAAGGCATTTTATTTGCTGCATATACTCGTAAAATATAAGGATATGTGTATAAGAGTACTAATAAACACACGAATAAACATTAATCTCAGAATCATGTTGTCGATGTTTACGGTGATATGCTGCTTCTGAAGTATCTCTTAACAATGTCCAGCAATAATCAGCAAGCAAATTGACACTCCATTTGCCTTGATACCGTTCTGACTGGGATTTTGATAGATTTAATTCTCAAACTAAGTCATTGACTTCGACCAGTTTGATCAAATGCGGCGCTGTTGAACATCCTGGCAGGTCAAAGGAAGGATCGGAAATTTTTACTTTTTCTGTACCATCACTTTTTTTATCCCAAGACCAAGATTCTGGTGGAACTGGGATAGAAAGTTCAACACTATGCTTAACGGGCCGCAAAGCAGATGGTAAATTAAAATACTTAACAGTATGTTTCGATTTTGGTCCAATACCTTTGATATTTGTGAGGCAAAAATAGCAATCAGTAGTATAGTATCTCGGTTCTCTCCAAACCATTGGTACCGCAAAAGGCATTTCACGATTGTCGCCTCTTAACCAACCTGTTAACAACGTTACACAAATTTTACAACATATATGAGGGGCCCATAGTTTATCTTCGTCGCCAACTTTAATTCCAAAATAAAGCTCGTATGCTTTCGACACAAGGGGCGTAAAAGTACGATTTTGCAATTTAAAAGTTAGCTCTCCGCATACATAACAAAAACTGTTCGGACTATTTACCCAATTTCTAGGCATTGTCCATAAAGCTAGCCTCGATCACGATAAACTAAAAGCAACACACCGTTATAACAAAAATTAACAGTACTCAGAACATCTCAGTCCCCTTCAACACAGGAAACGTAACTGACCTCGGCTGCAATTAGTCTACTAATAAAAGCAATATGCTCTCTCAACATAGAGCTCGCATATAATAAACGGGAATAGACAGGTCTTAACATTATATATGTGCGTCATCGCATAAACGCCGAGAAATCCAATATGAGATGTTACGTATTGTAATTCATTAAAGTAGATGTAACCGAATATCTGTGGGTGATTTAGATTTGATTTAAGGGTCTTAAAATACATCAGATACACCCCAAAAATTTTCATGTCACGAATTCTGTGTTTATAAGGTAATTTAACATGCACACATTCTGGCCTCGCCTACGAGATTCGCCGGGTGGTACCGTTCGATAGTCAGAGACCGTCTACCAGCTACGGACAATCACAACATCCATAGCCAAGAGAAAAATTCCTTTTGGGACGGGATTCGAACTCGCGCAGCGCACGGCGACTGATCAGGAGACCGAAGAGTCTAGCACTGCGGCCACCGCTGCCGCCTTAACGGAAAAATTATTCATTTCTGATTCACTTTCAAACAGTGACTTGCATCCACGTTTTTCCTGGTCTATAGTTTCATCACGTTGCCGTGGATTAGATAAACAGTAAAATGATAATTAAATTTCGCACGCCATTGCGACATTTAGGAGGGAGGTGTCAAGCACCTGAATGCTGAAGCTGAACACAGACACAGCGTCAGAAGCTGGCGGTCTGGCGTTAATAGTATAAGTTGTCGCATTAAAGTCGAAGGATAATTCAGGAGGGAAATCTCACCTGGTTCTAATGGCAACCCCATTTGCGCAAAGGGCTTACATGTTCACAGGTAGCAGGGTTGATACTTTGATTATATCGATTTTGTTGGATATATTCTTATGTGGGGCATTTAGATATATATAATGCTACCATGAGCACCACAATAGTTGGGATATCATTCGGAGCGAAACTCATTTTTCTACTTGCCGTTCTATTCAGCAGTCTATGGTGAATGTCAACTATTAAATATATCGATGTAAAATGCCATAAAAATTAATTTTAAGCCGACCCAGGCATGCACGTAGGACTCATTTTCCGTCATCTAACATGTACTAGTATGAATTAAAATCTTAGCTCACAGTTGAAGGATAGTTTAGCCCAGGGCTGTCCAACTTAATGTGGCCCAAGGGCCACTTAAAAAAAATTCAGTTTGGAGGGCCGCATTATAAAATCTTTCTATACGACATTGTTACTGAGTTTTAATAGGTATATGCATATTCGGTATTTGAGAGTAATTTATACTTGTGATGTATACATGACCCGTGAAGCGGGCCGCAAGAAAGGAGTTGGCGGGCCGCATGTTGGATAGCCCTGGTTTAGACTATCGAGCCACTGAAAAATATAAATTTTATCTATATTATATTGCAAAGAAGTTTTCGAGACGTCGATATACTAGTCATGAATCACTAGAATGCGAGTTCCATGCCATGATAAAGTTTCATCATGTACTGATATTCATTCCTCGGGATGCTCTGAAATAATTTTGAGTGGGGAGATGACAGAACTGCTGAAAAAACAACATACCGGTCGTTTTTATAAAAAATCATTAACCTCATTCGATAACGCGAAAACTATAAGTGCCAGAGTAAATATATACAGGGTGGAAAATAATGTTATCAAGTTATTTACAACTCCCTAAATAACAGTCCTTAGTGCCAAGTTAATGGTTTAGAATATAACCATTACGCAACATGAAAGGATGCTGGCCGCAACCCGCCTCGTCGGTGCACTCAATGAATTCGGACTAGGTTAGAAGAAGCCACGCCCATATGATGTTAAACGATTGTTTGTTAGCAACATCAACAGTTTATTGTTTACACAAAATTTTACCTTAAACGAAAATTGTATACTTTTCCCCGAGTAGGCATCTGCCTTTATCGCTCTTAAACTGCTTTTTACATAACATGCAACACTTCACCATCTCCGAAAATAGTCCAAAATTGTGGGTAAATCGCCATAAAGAGCGGATAACACAATAAGTTCTGTACTTATAGGTGGTAAGGATTCTATTGCGTTTCTTACGTTTATGGCATGAGAACAACGAATGTGACATGATACACTCATCGTAGCAAGCTGAAATTTTTAGAGTTAATTCTACATGGATTGAAATAGTTTTTATAATGGAATATTTGAATAGTTAAAATACAACCTCATTTTTGTTACCGCCCTGCAAAGTTGAGGGATGGAAGAGAGTTTTCACAAAAAAATGAATTCAGGATTTTTCGCGTTGATTTCTAATAAGCTCTGTTGAAAGGTGACATAACCGATGCTAAAACTAACCATTTAACCCATCTCAGAAAAAAAACACAGCCCTAAACCTAATGGCTTACTGTAATTGCGATTGAAAGTTCATTATTCCTTTTTTTTTCGGAATTTCTTAAAATTGCGGATATCTCTTGAACTATAAAATTTTGCACCACACATATAGGGGTTCATTCGATAGGTTTTGAGGCCCTCTATCACCTGACTTTCGCTGATCCACTACTTACTTTACCCCTGTATATACGAGCAGAAGTCATTGCAATTGCCAACAACCAGTTGGGCAAAAAATACAATTAAATCGTTTATTGGGAATTGTCAAAACCTAAAGCTTAGGTACGTATCGTCAGTCGTCCGTACAATTGTAGGGCGCCTTTATGGCCTCCTTGATTGTCATAGTTTTCTACTTCACCGTGTCAGCGCTCTATTTTGAGGTTATGTCACAAACATCTATTTGCGTCAAATTGTGCTTGCTTTTGAGTTATATCATGTTTTATCAGCCTGAAATTTCCTACAATTTAAAAAGAAAACATATCTTTACAATAGGAGAGTGCTGACACTGACACGGGACAAGTGTAATCTAGAAATTTTTGAAGGAGAGAAAGGAGTATGACAATCAAGGAGGCCATAAACGCGCCCTACAATTGTAGGGACGACTGACGATACGGGCCCGTGTCAGCGTCAGCGCTCTCCTATTGTGAAGATATGTTTTCTTTTTAAATTGTAGGAAATTTCAGGCTGATAAAACTTGATATAACTCAAAAGCAAGCACAATTTGATGAAAACCTTTTTGACAGTAATCTCGAGCTTTCGGCAAACTATGTTGACATCTTCATGAGATAAAACACAAGTATGAAAGTAGCAACAATTTAGAATAGATTTAAATTAATTATGTATTGTTGATAAAACCATAGCTGTTTTTTCCAAGAAACCACTAACGGATTTTGAAGAATTTGAAGATTTATCAACTATTGAAAAACTTTCGAACAATCATCTTTACGGGGAAACCACTTCATCTTTACCACGTGCTGAGGCCGACTGGCTTGCCTTCATCCAACAGCTTACTAAATGACACAGTGAGAACTTTGCTCAACACTTAGCCAAATAGGGTGAAGAACCTTAGTAATGT